AACTTTCTTGACGTTATGTTTCCAAGTTTGGACTTCGTGTGTTGAGATTGTTCGTCCTCTTGGGCTAGAGCAACCTGGAGATATCTACCTTACTCCTCTTGGTTCCAAAAAGAACTTCTGCATGGCTCAAGTAACTTTGTGTTGAGGCCATTAGAGCGAGCATTCTGTAGTGCACTAAGGAGTTCAGAGGCAGTATTATGAACGTCGTACTTGCACTGATTTTCCACGTCATGTCAGTATGTCCAGCATAATTTCCATTCCTCATCCCCTCGGATTATGCGTACAATTTCTGGGGGTGACTTTGTCATGACCATCGAGTCTACCGCACAGTCTGTAATGCAAGGATATGCCCATTTCTCGTTGCTGCTTTCGTGGCATGTCTGGGATTCAGTCTGGGGGTGGGGGTGTGTTCACCATACAACTGCAACGTAAACTAGTGCTCCACAGGATAGACATGACAGCAGTGACGAATGGAACACAAAACGGGCGATGTTCCTGGGATACGAAGATCCTTGCCCCAAGAGAATGCTCCACGATGCTTCAACCGAGCAGGAACTTGGTTTTGCTGGATCCACAGAGTGAGCTTTAATGGAAGAGCATTGATGACATCGTTTTCTTGCTGCGCCCCTGTCGTCCTCCACTGTGTCAACGTGGTTGTGTTGGAACCGGAATGTAACCCAACCACTGAAGATAAGAAAGAAACTACATGAGAGAGAAAGAGCGTGAGGTTGAGAAAGAATTTGCAATGCGGTCAGCTGGAAAAGCTAGAAACCCTCTGCAGACCGAGGTTATGAATTCGATCGAGGAGCTGCAGCAGACTCCCAAAAACGACGACGACGAGGAAGCTATAGCGTGATGCACGGTGGATTTCCAATCCAACCACTCTCGTGTAAGTACTCCTCGGAGACCAGGCCTCCAGGCTCATTTTCCATTCAGCTTGTGGTGACGAAACCAAGTGCATTCTCATTTCGTTTCCCATCTTTCATGGTTTGTTTGTAGATGACGTGGGTCAATGTTGAGTTCAAGATATATACACATGTATGTAGAAAGAGGGTGTTGTTAATGCCACCAAAGTTTCTGCTACTGCTGCCACACTTAATTCTTATGAGTTTTTAATTAATTTTTATTAAAATTTAAGTTAAATTTTATATAATTTTAAATGTATATAAGAAATATTAATATAACCTTTATTGAAATAAAATAAATAAATAAATATGTTTAGTAGGTGACATATTGTGGTGGTAATAGAAATATTATATTTATTCATTTATTTATTTATGATTAACAATTATAAATGAGAAAGATTAAACAACTTTTTTTTAAGAAAAAAAGCGAAAAAGTATTGAAATTGTTGCATAGAACAAAATCTGCTCACTTTGTACTAAACTAAATCAAACAACTACAATATATTTTTTATAATCCTCCTTACTTCTTTAAACATTAATTTGTAATGAAATTGTCAATAGATTAAATTAAAATACTTAACCCAGATTGTAATTAATAACAATGCATATAATGAAAGTCAATAAACTTCAAAAATTGAGTACAATGTTCAAATAAGAATTGATATTTTATTTTGCTAACAAAAAAACCATATGTTTGTTTAGTAAGTTTTTAAAAGATCTTTTTAATCATTAGCCGGGTAATAATGTTGTTTTCTTAAGGTCCTCAGTTAACCATGCCTACTTTCAGTCCAATTAACTAGCATTGAAATAAAGCATGAAATAAAGTTCTGCACCCAAACAACCTTCATGTACGATTTTTTGTTCTCTATTCAAAAGAAATTTAAGAAAAAAATTAAAAAATCAAAAAAAAGATAATTTAAATAAAATTTTCAAATTTTCAAATTTCAAAATTTTAACACTTGCGTTGATTTTTTAAATTTTTATTTTGAATCTACAATGTATATTTTATTTTTTAATGTATATTTTATATGACAATTTATTTAATCTATGGTAGTTACAAGATTATTGAAGATTTTACAAACATGTGTATGTCAATACATCATCAAAGTGATCTGGTAACGATTAATAAATATATATAGATTGATTAAATAAGAATCAGAAAACAGCAAAACACACATATAAATACGTACATACATACATACAGTAGCGAAATCAGTGTTTTCTCCGAAAGCTTTTTGCTCTCCGTGCCGTAGACTTTTACTTTTTTGAACGAACCAAAATATCGAATTCGAAAGATTTCGATAAAGTGCTCCAGTTACCGTTCAACCCATCACGAGTACGTTGCTGCCGAAGAATGTTACCGTTTACTAGTAAGCCCGTCGACTTACCAGTAACATATCCTTCCTCTTTCCCATAAAGAGGAAGCATCCTCTCGGTTCCAGGTACAGAAGACCGTCCATCTTTTTTCTCTCGCCGCCGTTCTTGTCTGGTTTCGCTGATTCTCGAGCGCTTGGTAGCGTAAAGCTCTTCTCGTCGCAATGGCCCTCGTCAACCTTTCTGTTGCTTCCGCGATAGTCGCGGCAGTCTTCCTCTTGTCGCTTGGCATGCAGGGCACTATGGTTATGGCACAAGGTGCGCCTGCACCCGGACCCGGAGGGACGGAAGGACAGTCTTCGGGAGCTGTCTCCGGCGCCGTTTACAGCGTCGCTGGTGTTCTCGTCAGCCTGTTGGCTATTGCGGCAGGATTCGCTCAGTTGTGAGTTTCAGTTTCGAAATTAGCGCATCTGAGTTTGGTGCCCTGTGAACATGATATCTTCAGAAGTCCCACCGGACGCGGGAAGTGCAAGAATTCTATCTTGGCCTCTTGTCAATTTTCAAACATATTACCACTCGCAGTGCTTGTACTGGAGGTTTTCTCCGTGAGATGGTCGACAGTACTTCAAAACGCATCTGGCGACGAATTGTAGTTTTCTTTCTACGAGTAGAGACTTTATTTTCGGTGAATTTTTGCTTTAGAAATGGCCGATCTGTGGTGCAGGAGCTCCCAGGTGTGGCGGACAGAGCTACGGCTGCCCTTATTGCCAAGGTAGTAGGGCATGCTATGACCTTGTACATAATTTTGTTAGAAGTGTGCTATCATTCACCCAGCGGGAAATCTAAATCAATCAAGTTTCACGTATGTTCAGGCACAACTGCATGTTAACCGTTCCTGTAGAACTCCGTTAGCAGGATAGATGGATTTCGTCGGTATGGCGCGGGGGTGCCCTTTGTAATAACATTGCCCATTCTGCATCTTAATATTGAGAACACATTCAGTTTGTGGCGTATGTGCATTTGTGTTGTTTCGATTATGTCTAAATCTATCTGCAGCGATTACGACGTACTTCATTATAGTGACGAGCGTCGGCCGAAACTGATTGCTGTTGCACGTTTGAATATACGTCAACATGTTAATGTTAAGAAATTCTTTAAAAGCTTGTTAGTTGAGAATTTGACATAGATTTTATCGGAATGTTACTAACATAAGTGAAACACCCTATTAGCTACTGCTTTCCTTTGACACTTCTGGAGGCGAAAATGCCATACGTTTCACCCATGCTAATCCATCCTAGAACATTTTCTCAATGTAACCCTGAATATCTCGGCCATCTTTTCCCGTTGTGAACTTTCACGCCCACTACATGCAGAACATTTACACCTGCCGGAACATAGAGTATACGGTCATCAAAGCGGAGTGATCGTAGTTAATACATAGTCGAGAAACTATTAAAAGATTGGCGGATAAGGAGTAAGTACAATTCAAATGACCCTGACAAAATTTTACAAGCCATTTAAGCTGGTATCCTATCCATAAATTCTGCAATATCACAATTCTAACCTAACACACTAACAGATGAAAAGTTGTTCACTGAAAAGTACACACCACTATGGAACACGTCGGAAATTCTCTGCTATACAACCCACCCTATAGTATATGGCAAAGAAAAAGTAAGATTCAACCCTTAGCACATGCATGGTTAGTAAAGGAAGTCCGTCACGGATAAGATGTAATCGATAGCTATTGCTAAAAATATTAACTGCTGAGAATAAGTTTCTGATTTCTATAACTACGGAAAATTATACGCCCTTCATCACTACATCTTTTCAAATGATCTTTTACCAATTTAGACATCCAAAGCACTGTTTTATTCTGAGTGGTTTGAACAACAATATGGCAACATGCAAAATTCCTATAAAATTTCAGCAAAGAAATATATGAACATCCAACACAATTCATTAAAAGTATTTTTTATTTGTGGCTATCTAAGACTTTATTCAAGCCAATATTTTCAACTTATAGTATGAAAAAGAACAGAGATATTACCAAGCTGGCAATTTAAGAATTAAGTGAAAAAAAAGTTGGAATCCACGCCAACATTATAATACTAATACAAGCTGATAAAGCATTAACATTATTCACAAATACAGTTACTGTAGGATTATCAAACTTGAGCTGCTAATTTCTATTTACCAGCGCATGTGGATGGAACATGACTTCTTAAGGTTGAGCAGACAAGTCCGTGTGCCCCAAATACTTTCCTCTAAAAGAACGACATCAATCCTTGCTACAATGGTCCCAATACATTTGATTCTGAACTAAGCGCTAAGGAGTATCCTGCTGCACATACAACGTTGGTTCAGAGTTTCAGAGAGTACCCTTGCATTCTGTTGCGAAGCCGAGAAATTGTTACTGAAATGAAATAGTTAGTTGGGCACCTCCGTTCAATAGGTTCTTCAAGCCAGTTCTCCAGGAATAACCGGCCAGTTAACAACTGAAAATGCAGCTAACACAAATATAACTCGACAGAGCATGCACTAGTTAAGAAGAAATACAGGTCAAAATTTACTACATGGTTTTCTAGCAAAAATAACTTTACCCTCCCAAACCATCTTGACCAATATCATCCTACTACACTTTTCAAAGGTATCGGTAAAGTCCACCTACGCCTCTTTCAATAACACATCCTGCTTAGTGTCCAGAGCATTTATGCTCCAAACTTCCACGATTAAGAACCGAAGGGTATCCATTCAAGCTCAACTAGGAGAGAAACGATGTTGTTATAAGGGTGACATTAGCACCAAAAGTATAAAAAGAAACAAAGGTGTTACACATATTCCAATTTGGAAGTTTCTACTCGACAACGAGAACTCAAGTCAAGGTAATGCACTTTACTGCTCTCTATCAATAATGACCTTGCTGACCTTATTTCAAAAAATCAGGTGACATGCAACACTTTCATACCCTATAGCTGTTGCAAATAATGTGACAAGAATAATCCTCACGGGACAAGCCACTGCAACCTTCACCTCAACACTACCCTCTCATGTTTCAAGGGTACTATCTTCACATGTAATGTCTCTGCCTTCAACTTCACCTCCCCCCATTCCATTCAAGTACATCACAGGCCCACTCTGTTTGCTTGCGCATCCAGCAATACAATCTCCGACAACAGCCCATGCTTTGCCATCCCTGCTCTTGAGCCTCTTCACATGAACCTCCTCTATACGACACCTTGGGTATCTCTCCGAGACAGGGACTTGTAGCCAGAAGACGAGGAATTCATGATAGCGATTCTCCAATTAACAAACGAGGTTGAAAGAGAAGCTACGCTCTGTCCAAAATATTACATTGCCTAACAAATTCATTAGAGTAATTCACGTACTTGGACCAGAACGGTCTCAGCTGCGGAAAAGCAATGTCCAACCACGGCTTCGCTTGTCCATTGTAGTGAATCACAGCTGCCTTTTCCACAGCTTCTAAGTTAGTTTTCGTATTATACCCCAGGCCCAACATGTGCCAGTTACCAGGGATTGGATGCACATTCCCGTCAAAGGCTATCAGTGCTGGGGGTAACGTCCCTAACCTCCACAACGTTAAATTCAGTTGCAGATTCTGAACAAATACACGAACTGATTCAGTACTTTAACATATCACCTCCAAGACAGGCAAACCCCAAAGCTATTGAACTTCACCTATCGTTCATCAAAGGCATTGGATCTGAGCTATGAAAGACCGCCGTCAAGGATCGATACCAAAACTGAACCTTCTCCATTTTGCAAACATAGCATAGTAGAAGTATGCCACAGGCAGAAGTTCAAGTCACTCGTTTTTAACCGAGCAGAAACGAGAGAGCACATACCTGCTTTTGCCAATAGTGGTAAACACGAGTAATGTCAGCTTTCCTCCAAGCTCGTAAATCAAACACATTCATGCCATATGCCCACGCACACTTATCTTGATCAAACGTTGAAGAGATTATGGGGTGCGAGAAATTGAAGTAGTTCTTGAACGTCTTCGACATCACCCATGTGTCATCCCCACGACAAGTCTCAACAGCACCGTTAACTTTCCCATGAAGATCCATATTCCACAAAGGGCTCAGATCCGTTTGCACCACGACATCATCATCAAGAAACACCACCTTCTCCAGTTCCGGAAATAACTGTAACCACGACAAAAACGACAGTAGAAACATCCACAACCCCATTTAAGTATTCAGTGGATTACAAACTGGTACATCGTTACGTTCAAACTGAACATGCTGAAGAAAAAAAAAGTTGGAGTCAGCAAACTGCACCATAGCGGCAAGGGGAACGCAAAGATGAGGAACAACTGAAACCTCCTTAGAAAAGTCTCGAACTAGAATTACCGTGCTCAATACGTAGCTGCAGTGCAGCAATTCTGCTTATATCAAACTAAACCCCAAAACCTCATATTGATACTGCACAGGCATGTCTAAGAAGTACACCGCCATAACAAGGCAAAAACAATGTGGTGCACGCCTTAGCTGGAGACATTATGGAGAGGAATTCTCCAAAAATAGATGGTTGCACAAGCAAACGTCACTGAGACTCAATCTTAAACCTCTCCACGTGATTCCCTCCACATCAATTCTGCCGTATCTGGCTCTAGTGTACACGCAAAGTGGGTTGTAGAATATGATACTTTCAATAAAAGACCGAAGCGTAAATTACTCACGTCTGGTAGGTAGATGCGGAGGTGATTCATGATGGAGATGTACTTCGGAGAACGAGCCTGCAAATACGACGCCAGGATAGTGGGCGAGTACTGACTTATGTTCGCCCCTGCTGTGTGGTCACCATGGTAATAATATTTGATGTCCTGAGAAGATTCCATTGCCTCCAACACAGGCACGTTATCCCTGGTCAACCATTCAAACTGGTGCACTCCTTTCACCTCCACTATTGCAGGAGCTAATGGGTTAAGCGCAAACCATGCGTGCATAGCTGCATGCGTTTTCTTGTCAGTGATTACATGGAACACTATCTTCTCAGGTTGGGCTGCGTTACGTATTGTCGAAGTCACAACTACCGCAGCCGCTAAGACGTTGTCAGTCGCGAGAACCAGGTGATAATATTCTGGATCAGTCAACCGAGGAGCCAGGTCGGGCGAGGGCAGATCCTGCCGAGCTCGCGCATTGCTTGAATACTCCCCTGTCAACTTCAACGCCAGACAATGGAGACCCTTCGGCACTCCGCTGCTCGCATAGTGCCTGTAAAGGGCCTCCTGAAGCCTTGCTGCACGGACCTTTTCCTCATTCACCTCAACCTACAAATCAATGTTCTTCAGTACTCAGAGCTCATGGAACCGTCACATGTGCTAACATAACCTTCACTAGGTATACGAGACAATCATGCAGACCAACTGTGGGACCATTCAGATGGAGCCCGTAACTCTGGTTTTTTTACTCCTAACATACCATAGATTTCATGCGTCGCAAAAGTGTCGGCATGTCATACTGCTTGTTCCGAGCTTCTACCAGCAATGCCTCGATAGTATCAGGCACATCAGTCGACTCCTCGCTTCTATACTCTAGGAGAGCTGAGTACTTGTCTCCTGTATTCTGCACGAACCACGGATTGCGCTACATCGAATCAAATTGTATTCTCATTGGGATATGCAGAAGAACATAAACACTAAAACGCCAGACGGAAATAAATGCTACTGGTTAAATTGAACGACGCCGGAGGGACCTAATTATGATTAACGATGGATGAGACGCAAAACTCACTCGAGAAGCATGTCGTTTCCACGATAATTTGGGTCCAAGTTTCCTTCCGAAGCAATCTAACAAGCACACAAGCAGTCACTTCATGTCAGAGTCTACCCCCCAACAGCCCTGCAACATTTGAACCCAGAAAAGCGATAAACTTGCTCCTTCAAAATCGTGGCCAGCTAAGAACCAATATCTCCCCGTACCAACTTCACAATCAAAATTTTGAGAAGTAGATCAAAACGAGGGTCACAGCTTCGACCTGATCCATACTCGAAAGAATTCGGGCAAATAGAAGCAATGATCTCAAGCCCCAATGCCAGCTCAAAAAAATTGCAGATAAAACGGTGCAATTAGCCCTAATCATAGTAACGACAACGATCCAACTGAGCGAAATAAATTGTACGACCTGCCCGCCTCATTGCCCCAAGAGCTCTTTCAGGGTTTCTATCACGGCCACGCTTGGCTGAGCAGCACTTACATTAATGAAAAACTTCAGCACTTGTATACCTGAACTACATTCAAAACTCGGCATGCAGAGAAACCAATAGAGAAGTAAAATCTACACTGCCCAAGTTCCGGGACGGGCTATGACGGGCAAAGACCTCCCATAAGATTGTGTTAATCTCCGACTCATTTGAAAACAGTGGATCCGCTCAAACACATCTGGGAGGGATTAGACAGAGAAATAGAATAGAAATATAGTGGGATGTGGTTGTGACATGATGATCCCGGTTTGCATAGTCAACAAATGGTACAAATCAGAAGATGTGCAAAAAAGATACACAAGATGTCACACTTAATGTTCCAGATACGCAGACAGAAGATGTTAGACTACCTGTAGGTTATGGAATCCACAAGAATCAAGAAGGATGCGAACTTCCATAAGATGTGGACATACCGAGAGATGTGCAGTTGTGAACGCCTTCGAGTGTGATGAGCGCGCTGGTAATGAAAAGGAATGGCAGAAGGAATGCGAGAGAGAGGACAGTCCAGAAGACACAACGGTAACTCAGGTACCTAGCCGCGACTTTCATCTTTAAGGGATCTAAGAACCCAGGAGATGTGGATATAGTGATCCGTCTCATGCCGGGGGAGATGTGGACCTGCATTGTGGGCCACCTCTTCCCCCTGTGCACTCAAGGGCTCCCAGATCCTCCCCTCTCCTCCTCCTCCCTGTCCACCATTACTTTCCCCGCCGAGATCCCTACTCAGCAACCCTTCAACCAGCTCCGCAGCTCTCCATTTCTATTTCAACCCTCCCACCCCGCGTTACTCTGGCTTCGCCCGATCAACCCGCACACACTCAATGGCAGTACGCTCACCTCCCCATATACCACACCTCTCCTCCTTCACCCACACCTCGAAACCCAAACCCTGGCGTCCTTTGGTCTATTACGAAGCCAGGTTCCCGTTATCCGCTTCAACCCTGCTGCTCCATCCTCCAGCTTCTGAATATGAACTCGATCCCTGCACCACTCTTCTCCTTCTCCTCCTCCTCCTTCAACATATACTACCTCTCTCTTTCTCCCCACCGCAGACCCCTTCACTACATCCCCTCCCTCAATGCACCGTCGCCACCATACCATTCCACCACTACCATACCATAACGCTCGCGATCTGCATCCCCTTTCTAACAAACCTCCTCTCCAACCACCCCTGCAACCGAATAAGCCCGAAATCCTCAATCTGCTCCAAGCCACTCTCCCCTCTTTCCATAATCCACTGCCCACGCCTCCAGACGAAAGCTCTAGAACCCACCCTCTCGCGCCTTCAAACACATGCCATTAGGACTGAAGGCCACTAATGACCTCCACCGAACGCACTCCGCAGCCAATGTCACGCGCCCAGAGCGAGAAACCGGGAACGAAAGGAAATAGTGCGCCTCCGTCCCCTTCTTCCCTGCGTCGCCAGTTCGCGCACCTACATCGCTTTCTCGTCGCGTCGCGAGCTCCGGCGCTAGTGCGGGAGACGCCCTGGAATCCCTCTTCGTCTTCCTACTGCTTTGTTTCAACTGCGCGACTTGCCCTCAAGGCGACGACACCACGGTGACGGGCGACGAGGACTCATCGCCCTTGTGGATCTGACACTCTCGTAGATGAGTGGGTAGCCGATCGATGAAGCTCTTGATATCTACGATCGATGTGGCTCCCGGCCCGCGTGAGAGACTTCAAGGGTCTCCGTTATCGTAAATTCCTTTCGAGGCCCCCCAAAATCGGGTTTATCCTTGATAGGGAATATAGGGCCCCAGTCAGTCGCAGTCGGAGTCGGTCATTCCGGACTTAGTTATACCCTTCATCCATTTTTTGTGAATATCTATGGTGGAGTGTGATCAGAACGTTTCGATTTGAATATGCAGGAATGGCTTTCAAAAATTTGAAGAAGAAATCTATAAATATATAAATGTATATATACATTCAGTATCACCTCTCCTAAGTTCACTCCTAATAAGTTATAACCTTCCAAAAGTATTAAAAAATGGAGGAACAGACCTGATTCTATGGTTATAACTTGTCTCCTGATCATCTAATTCGATATGTGCACCATTTTTTTTGATTGGGCTGAGCAGATTCTTGATTTGACATTAGATTTTATATTGAAAGATCTCAAATTATGCCTACGAGCTCTTCTTTGATTGTTTCTTCACCATTGTCAATTTTTGCAATTTCAGGTGCTTGCTTGAACAATCGAGTATGTCTAAAGCAGTTTTGTATTGTTGTTGAAGATAATCCTACTGAAGTTGTAATTAACCAATACATTGTTGTCAAATGGTCAACCTTGTATAAGTTGAGTTCATTTTGCAAATGGAAGTATCAATAATATCGCTTGAATGTCACAATAATTCCAACATCCATTAGTTAGATCTTCAAAGTGATATTTAGAGGAAGCGCATAAATATTAATATGCTATGGTGCATTGTTTGTCAAAAAAAACATCCACCAATGTGCCCTCTCCGTCTCTTCATTAAGTTTTTTCAACCATTCTTTAAAAATAAATAAATAAATAAATAAAATAACTGATCAACTGTGCTCTCTTCTTGGAACAATAATAAAAACCCAATTATTCACTTGTACAATGGTTGAAGCAATGGAACTTGTGGACATTGCCAATAAAAAAAAGGTAGTAATTTGTAGGTTCTATTAACATTTGTTGTAAATGCAATGGTGATCTTTGCATTTTTCTTCTTATAACTAGTAATTTCTTATTGAACAATGATTTGATCTAGCACCATATTATAAAACAATCTAATTTCATCCATACTGTACATGTCGCACAAATTATAGCTTGCAATATAGATGCATTGAGTAGGCATTATTGCATCAAACCCAACTTGATCAGCTAAATCTAACTCTCCATGCATTTTGATAACTTTCAACTTGTAGAGAGAAAGATATTTCTCAAACCAACTATTTGAAACTTTTTTTTTTTTTCTTTGGAGATTGCATGCATATATACAAAGCATTGATTGTGCTTCTTAATGAACTCCAATGACAATATCACATTTTGAGATTAACATAGGAGAATCCACATAGCAAGTGCTTCCTCAAAGTTGAGAAAGTAAAATGTCCATAGATACTTTGCTTAAAGTTGGTCATTGTCCATTGCTTCATACTTGTCATGTTTCTTCATGATCTTACTAATACTGAGTTGTGAGGGTGCTTTTGTAAGCTTAATTTTAATTTTGGCCTACTCAGCAAGAGCCATTTGTGAGATTGAAGGCTATGCATCATTTTGTTTGCAAATATACAGTTGTTGGGCATTGGTGAAGTACAACTTTATATGCAGTGACAAGATATTGGGTGTGTAAGGGGAAGTGCACTAGGCGAGTGACAAGTGTTCACTTGAACAAATTCATGATTTTGGCAACCTTTGCAAGTTTCAATCTCTTCTAAGTTATGTTTTGGAAAGTGAACGGACCCTATAACTTAGGAGAGATAATACTGTATATGAGAATGGAATGAATGGTTGGATGTACTAACATTGCAATGATTGGTGAATGAGGTGCAGTATGCCATTGTGTATATTTGAGTGGGTGGCACTCTCTGATATTGGAGGAGGGGGGGTTGCAGTGGGACTTGGGCAAGAGGGGAACATCATCATGTATGACTGGAGAAGAAAGTAAAAGCATTGGGTCCAACTGTGTGAAACTTTTTGGTGGCCTACTGGTGAAGGAGCCTGGTAACCCCATCTTCCTTGTTCATTTCAATGATGAGAGACTTGATTTGCATTTGAATTCAAAGGAGATTTGTCATAATGCAAAGTCAAAGCTTTTTGTGGTTGGTTTCTATTGTTTGGTGTAGAATTACATGATGGTCTCATGATCAGGTGGGTTTCAAAAAAAATGACTTATAGGGGAGGGTATTTGAACCGCTTCCTCCACAAGCCCCTACGGATGAAACCCATTTACAATGGACAGATGGATGGATAAGACGACGACGCCGCAAGAGTCGTATGTTCCCAATGCCGTTCCCCGACGCTCCAGTGTGCTCAGACTGGCACCAGAACTGGTTCTCGTTTGCCGTTGCCTGAAGTTTTTGTGAACCCCCGCATCGAAATGGCGAAGAGGGGATCCTTGTAAGGTCGGACCACGGCACGCACAGGTAGATCATGAGCGAGCGTGGGTCCCGCACAGAGTAGCTGTCTGAACTAGTCTACTTAGACGGACTTCCATGGTGTCGGAAACCTCCCGATCCCCGCCTCGGCGTGCGTCCCGGTACTAGACGACCCATCCCCAAGCACAGCGAAATCAGTCCACCGATTCCTCAACAGGGTATGTGGATGCCGAGATTAGGACGAAGTGCGGAATGGACCAAAGCAGCGAGGAGAGCCGCAGCGTCGATTTCGCAGGAGTTTGTACCTGCGGCATTTATGCGATTTGGAGGAATTCAGTTTCTGGTTTGTTGGTAGGGAGCTACTCCGACATTGGAGGTACGAGGTAAGGAATGGCACCCTTCAACGCGGTTACTATTCAGGAGATGGAGCAAGGGAAAAGTGTCGTAGAGAATGGCGCTCCCTTCTCATACTGTGCCGCACCAGGCTGTTCTCCTGGCTCAGGTGGCGCGAATGGGTAAAGCCTCGGAGCCTCACCTCTTACAATGCCATGCCTTTGGGGGCTGCTTCACCGCCGCCGAAATTTCATCCACCGTGCTCATTGATGGATGAATATTTTTACATTCGTCCATCATCGAAAGTAATCTAGTCCCTACTTCGCGCAGATACCTATCCAGCTTCTCTGACCTTGGAATTATTAATCTCAACAGTTATTTTATAAACCACTAAAGTGTTTAGAAATAGTCTCTATAGACACATGTCTTGGAAACACGATTTCTGTTCTTAACAAAAAAATGTGAACACGTACATTCATTCTCCATTGAATGATATTCAAGTATTGTTTAAAATGATATATATGTGATACTATCTGTGTAAAAATTTGATAATTGTGGAGTGGTCTTAAAGTAGGTTTTGGTACTTTTGACATGGAAAAACTTTGGTAGCATAAAAGAAAATCTTCAGTTAGTTGGAAGATCCTGTGGTGTCTTGCATGATATAAGCTCAATGGTTATTATTATTATTATTATTATTTGGGTTTGTGAAAAAGAAAAGAAAATAAAGAAAATAAAAATAAAAATAAAAATAAAAAATAAAATAAGTATTAATTTCTTTCCATGTGATATGTCCACAAATACTAGCCTGTGATCAAATACTACATGTCCACAAATATATGCTTTGTCACATGAATAATGCATGTAATCAGTTCAAAATATGAATGATTTTTTATTTATTCATTTAGCTTTACTTATTATCATTATCTGGTTTATAAGTTTTTGTTTTACTCTGCTGTTTAATTTAAATCCTAGAGTGCATAAAAGAAAAACTACTCCTCTAGGATGAATGCAGCATTTTAAAATGAGATCATAATCAAAGTAGCTCATTGTGATGGACATAGTTTGAAGTAGAGAACAACATGCCATCAAAACTTTGTAATGCTTCAACATTGCTGCTTACCCTCTCAGGAGAATTACACTCGACATTGCAGTGATCAATGTCAATTAGATAACATTATTCTTACCGCTGTCATTGTTATTGGGGGTGGGGGATTTATTTAATGTTTTAGGATTTTCATTTACACATATTTTAGGATGTTCTTTCATTTACACAGATCAATTTTAGTTGTTTTCTGTACAAAAAGTAATACTGGAGTTCTCAATTTCAACCCAAAAGACATGTTTGGTTGTTGAATAAATATATGAATATCTTAGGAAGTCACTTGATTTGTCCAAACACATGAAAATGACACTAAAGACTGACTAGAAGACAAAACCCATGTGCATTTTTAGGTCGTCACATCCTGAGGAGTGAAGTGCCTTAATGGAATACATCTAACAATGTTTGTCGTCAAAGGAAGCACCCATCATCATCCGTAAATTCATTACTCCCCTATTCATCCAACACGGAAGTCTTCAAGGACATTATCACATTGGACTGGAGCAAGAGCATGTCTCAAAACCAAAATCGAGCAAAGGATAAAAGAAAAGGGGAAGAAGTGGGTAGCATTTAAAATTGCAACAGATCTCAAAATGAATCAAGAAATACTGTTGCCCTTAATCCTTGTTTCCCTTCACCGTGTCTTTATGTTCCGTCTTTGGTGCCGATACTTCATTCGTCTCCTCTATTATTTGTATAGTTCATCTATTTTCATGGCGAATCTGACAAGTCCCCGCATCCAGTAAACATGGGCCCGTCTCAGAGGAATTGGAAATTGGGCCCATTGATATCCAATGCCAGGTGCTGGACATTGAACACAGACTGAGCCAGTGGTGGTAGGGCAGTGCCCGGCTGCGCCTCCTACCACATAGGCGCACAAGGTTTGCAGCTGGGGACCTCAGACACGGCTTTGGGTCCATTGGAGCCGTTACCCGAGCGAAGTTGCTCATGACAGCATGCTCTTGATGTTTGCCCTAATTACCCTCTTTATTTATTTGTTTTTTTCCAAAAG